ACGCCGGGGGGGTTTAGTTGGAGGGGGGGGGGGGGGGAGAGGAGCAGTAAGCAAGGAGATCCAAATCCACACGAAGGAGAAATTAAGCGAGCACGGCGAATATACATGTACGTAAAAGATTATTGTAGCAAAACAAGATATAATATTTAAATTATCACGACTCTACGTACGGGCAATTATGTGTATCGTTCGCATAATTATGCTTTATTAATGCATAGATAATTGAAGCAGAATAGTCGCTTAGTCGGTTAATATAACGATTTATAGACGGATATGTTGCTTTCTTCAAACGTTTGTAAATTCCCTTGTCGGTTAATAACGTGCGATAAGGTTTTGTGCCAATAATAAGTTTTTAATTGGTCAAATAAATTTATTGCATTGCTTTGAGTATGCAATAGCCCGGATTATATAGAATTAAATGTCACTTTTGCGCATGCGCGCACCATTCTTCTATTGGATATAAATAATGGTAAAATAGAATTGGATATAAAGACAAGTGTGTAGTAAAATTTAGACGATCTTGATGAGACGTTATACCCGATCTTTCCTTACCCTGATAATATAAACAAAAAAAAAAAAAAAAAAAAAAAAAACAAAAAAAAACTTTTCTGATAGCAAAAAAGGGAAAAAACTCAGTATGAATTGCATTTGTAAAGCGAAAGTGAGCGAATATTATACTATAGTATTGGCATAAAGTAGCTACTTAGTGATACTTGATAGAAAGTAGATGAACCATTTTTTCCATAATAAACTAGATTCTGAGAGAAAATTAATTTAAGTCGTGTAAATATAACAATTAATCTTTGTTAATAAACATGATATATATATATTTTTTTTTTCTTTTCTGATAGTAGTAACGTTAATAATGTATCTATACAAGTTTATGCACATTTATTATAATAATTAATCCTATGAGAAAATATAAAATAGTTGACAATAAAGTGTTATCGATAAAGTAAAGTAAATCAATAAACATATTTATGTTATTTATAAAAAAATATCGAAAACAAAGAAAATGCTCAAAAATTTTACGATATATATATATTCTTTAAAATTAAGATTGTAATAATCGACTGGAGTCCATCCTGGACTTATAATTGTTATATTTATAGACTTTATATAGAATCATAAGTACGATAAGGCAATATCTGTTATTTTTAAGCCGGGAATAGTTATGAGGATATTGACAGGGCATCCGTTTCTTCTCCGATTATTAAATTGTAACCTGTAGAAGTTTTCCTAAGATATTGTGGATAATTAAAAATGTTTATACCCGATGAAGTTACTATTGCAAAAACCAAAAATTCTTTCTCTTCTTTAACAATTCATATTAATTATTATCCACACAGCTCGTCCCAATCTAAATGTGATTTATATTTCTATAAAAGCCTCGATTCAAGTGAAGGAATTAATTAAATAATCACTAATTCATTTATTATGTAAATTTGATATTAAATATTCGCAATTGCGTCATTATTCGCGAAGACAAATTATAATTTATAATCATTTCATAATAAGATGAATTGCACCGACAATTATATTATTATCGCAAATAAAAAATGACATTTAATAAAAATAAGTAATAATATAGTACATAATACAATCATGTAAAATTTACATAAAGTTTTAAAGTTGATAAAAACTAGACGCTTCTTATCTTACTTATGATTCCGTTAGAATCTAGAAAAAGGGGAAAAAAATAATAAGTAGAACATTTAGATACAATAATCTATGAGAAGCAGCCTACCCACATATTAAAAATAAAAAAGAAACAAAAGTCAAACGTATTTTAATCGTTTATTTATTAAATAAAAATTAAAAATTAAAAAATAATTATTCTTTCGAATTTATTCTCTCTCTCTCTCTCTCTCTCTCTCTCTCTCTCTCTCTCTCCTCTATTTCTCTATTTAAATGAATTATACTAATATTAATTAGAATATATATATTTAGCTTGCTGTTACTTTAAGGGCATAAATTATTTTCAGATTCAGTCAACTGTCAGTGTTAATCATTTCTTTTGAAACACTAACAATGCATTTTAATTTTATGGCCGATCAATCAATAACAATATAAATTTTACTTAAATACCAAAAATATGTAAATAATGTGGTTTTTCGTTATCCCCCGTCAATTTCGCACTTTATAGAGATGAATTAATAATTCATCATTGAGCAATTCTTCATTCAATTGGGCCTACTTTTGCCAAGCAAATATCAAAATTTAAAATCATCATCTTGATAGTTGAGCCGCCTCGACTAAATATAGAAATACATAAACAATTTCTTCATAAACATACATGTATATCGAATGTAAATTGTATAAAATTACGGAAGAGCCATTAGATTTATTGTGGTGAATGGAGACGCGGCAAGTATATTCAGGATATTGCGAGTTTAAGATCATCGTCAGAAAAATCCTTGCAACCACAATTCAGTCTTATGAGACAATATAAACTTAAAGTTGTAATAGAAATTTGTCTCGAAATTTTTTGTACTCATTTTTATTTAGAGCGAAACGACCGTTGGCATTCTGGGCACTAATTCATCAATTTTCAACGAAACTACGTGCAAAGAAAGTAAATTTTTTTTAGTTCTATTGTTTTCAGAGTGAACTCTACTTCTAAAATCATTTGTTATAATTAAATTATTTAAAATTACCGTTATATAATTACATCTAATGCATTGATAGATTATCAAATGAGTGAGTATTCAAATAAATTAATAAACACCCACAACTTATTACTCGAATTATTCAATAAAGGAATATGTAACATCATTTATTAAAATCATTGATCGCTATGTTAATTGCATCATAATTAATTATAAATATGTATAGATACATACTTAACAGCCATAAGTGAAGAGCGCAATAATGGAAATTTAAATAATATATCATTTTTATAACACATCGTAGTTAGCAAATTCTACTATTATATTGAAATCAATATTTCAATAAGAAAAAAATACAGTCTGGGTTGAAATTCAAATTTCATGTTTATATTCTAGCATATTAGAAAATATTAAATGTATACTTTACTAAATAATAGATTTATAAAAATTTGATAATACTTACCGCTGTTTCTTTGTTTATAAAATTCATTATAAGGCTGAAAAGTATAACAATAAACTAACTAATAATTTAGTCGAATATAAAGATTAAAAAAATATATACCAATTTCATAATTCATAGTATAATTTTGTAGTTTGATATTATGAAATAAAACTTTAAGTGTTTAAAAGAAACCTTAGAATGTTCGTTCCGATTTAAATATTGAATAGTTAAAAATGTTAACCTTATGCATTGTGTTGTATACGTATAGAAATGAAAGGTAGAACAAAATTTAGAATAAAGGGTTAAATTTTAAAAACCTATTCAATTTTATTGCATTGATTTGAAAAAAATACACAACAAGTTTCTTTATGTACCTTAACAATATATAAATATATTGAAGCAATTTTTAACTTGAAAACTATATAACAACTTTGTTTATATAGAACAAACATAAATATAATGAAACAATTTTCCAAATACATTACAAATTAAAACTACATAAAATGCATAAAAATATTTTTTTTTTTTTTTTGTAACAATATAATTTTAATTTATCATTAATATAAGCAAACAATTTTATTTTATTCATAATAACACAATGTTCATTACCAATTCACTAAAATATACAAAAGCAAATTAACAATTTTTTCTTATTATGCAACATTTTTTTTTTTTTTTTTTTTTTTTTTTTTTTTTAACAAACATCTAAATAGTAATAATAATTTATATCAATATTAACATAAAAAATCATTTTACAACGTATTTCAAGGATATATAATATCTTTATGTCAATACAATATTAAACTATAAGAAAATGTTTAAAGTACATATAATTGATAAAATGATATAATAATAACAAAGGTTATAAATAAATAAGAATGACTGATTCATTGATTACGGTTACAATACATTTTTATTTATTAGCATATTGTAATACCTGTCACTGCATTTTCTACAAATTTGTACATTGCTTCTACTACCATGTAAAGTACGTCGTACAATGTCCCGCCCCATGATTGATGTACCCCTGACGAAGCTACTAAAATTACCCAAAAAATGCGTCATGGATTAAAGAAACTCAACTATGACGATTTGATCCATAAATGTAAATAAATAAATAAATAAATATATATATATATATATATATATATATATATATATTTATTTATACATAATGAATTTCAGGTGTCAACACATAATTTATTTTATTTATGGACAATTTTTCTTCTATTCAGAATTTATTTTGATTCAATTCCAATTGTCGCTCATATTGTTAATTCGGTGCTATATAAAATATTATTTAAAGGCTATTTTATATCTCAAGCAATTTAAAAGCAATAGCTTTTAAAATATCCAGCATTTTTCACATGATCATCAAATAATTCACTTCGGCCTTATGAAATGATATAAAAGATTCGTAATGACCATAGAAACAAATCCAACTATGTTGCTCGGCATATATACAATTCTTCTTTATACTCGTTCATGGTAAGCATAAACGAGGTCGTGAACCTTGCCGCATAATCAATATTACTCAATAATGCGTTGAAGGAATAAAATTTTTTAATTTACATACAATCGCACGTCGTGAAATATTAGAACGGCGGTATGAGATAAAATATTAATTCACTTATAACGCTATTCCGTATTTTACATATTAATTCCCTTTACTTTCTAAAACCTTTTTTTCGAATTTTTTTTTTTTTTTTGAATTAATCGCCCAATCGTATGATAACAATTATTATAATAAGTTTTAGAAATTTCAGCGATCACACAATTTTATATTATGCTTCATTAATAATAGTCAAGTTTTTGTTATAAATATTCATTTTTTAAACATTTACCTACGCATAGTAGGAAGGTGGCACAGTTAAATCCTGCATCACTGCAAACTGTTCTTTAGTAAAATTTACTGCTAGACCTTGAAGACCCGTCCATCCATCACAGTGTGTACGTTTAAAATCATTGAGCGTTTTACGTATTGTACTCTATAATCAAAGAAATTAAAAAAAATAAAAAAAATTTTAACATATCGATAGATAAAATATAATGTACTATAGATTTATTTAAAATTATTACAACTATTAACTTACAGGTATGGGTTCAGGATCATTTAGGTGCACTGCATAAACTCCCGATATTATTTCATTATTGTACAACTATTAACTTACAGGTATGGGTTCAGGATCATTTAGGTGAAAACTCAGACACTCGAAAATGGGTGGAATATGCTTAGGAACATCGTACGGATGAGCCCGAATGAAAGCACACAATCCGAGAACACCAGCGTGACGTAAACGGACGGCACTTAATATCTTGGCATTATTAGCAACGTCTTCTGGGTCTTTAGATAATCTTCTTCTTTTATTATCAAGTTTTATTTTCGCTTTTTTCTTAAACTCTTCCTGTAATTAAATAGCATACAGATATATATATATATATATATATATATATATATATATATATATATATAATGTGCAATTTATTAAATGAGCTTTATTTTAAAATTTAAATAGAGCAAATTTTATTTTAACATAATAAATAATCAAGGAATTATTTAATCATACGTAATAATAACGAGAAAACAAATAATAGCCGCAAAACATTAACTAATCTTACCTTAATTTTAAAGCAATTAAATCAATTGTGTTTTATTTCAGACGTTTTTTAAAGAAAACCAATGTTTCATATTTAAGTAGTACATTATAGCGTTTCATTGTGAGAATTGTACAAAAAATAAGCAATGGTAATTTGTATTAGTCTTTAATTTAAATACAATCATTTAAGATTTTGAAAAACAAAGAACTCCTATCTTTAGATATAAAAATTAGCAGAAAAAAATACCAAAGCACGCACGCACACGCAAGACACATATGCATTTGTATATGCAAATGTATATATATATATATATATATATATATATATACACTTACGTATACATGCATACATAAATAATATTTCCGAACATGAAAATTATAAAATAATATAAAATGCACGTGATTAAAAAAAAAAAAAAAAAAATTTAAAGTCATTGTTTAGATGTGATTAAAAAGTTAGGAATTTTTTATAAAATTATCTCACTTTTGAAAAAATGCAGCTATTTTTAATTTTAGTATATAATATTTCATTACCTAAACTCCAATTCTGAAGGACGTAATAAACGTAAAATATTCTTGTTTCGTATTTGTTAATCAAAGTGAAATACTTTGTTAGTAAAAAAGTAATGGACATGAAACATTTATTATTATTAAACACTTTTGTGTTAATCTATTTTTTATACAAAAGAATAATCTAAACTTTTTTTTTGTAAAAGCTTTTGAATCAATTATTATTTACAATTTTTTTACGATTTGCATTTTTATGATAGTAGGATATTACATGTTGAAATAATTTTCTAAAAGTTCCTTTTTAAGCTGTTGAATTATATTCAGACATGACAAGTTAACTGAAGATTTTGTCATGCACTTAACAATAAACAAAGCTCTTAATTATTACCTTTCCATTATTGTAGCTAATAAATAATGTTACTCTTGTAATATAAAATATTTTATTAATTTAATCTATTATCTAACAAGTTACTAATTTGGACACTATTTTTTTGAAAGTATAAAAAAATTAATTTTTACAATGTTTTATTAATGTAATTCGTTACTTAGATTAAACAAATAATAGAATTTTATAATCTAAATTGTACATACTTTAGTCATAATAATACTGGGGTTATTTTTTAAACTAGAAATTTCAATTGGTTCAGTTTATTTACAAGATTTGATTTTAATATTACTTTATGTAAACTTTATGGACTATTTTATCAACTAACCATAACATTTTCTTTATAAAAGAAAGAGAGAGAGAGAGAGAGAGAGAGAGAGAGAGAGAAAAGAAGATATTTTGAAGACGATTCTCGGGGATTCAATACATAATGAAAAATAAGTATTTACAATTTTAAAAAAAGGATTATTAAATATTTAAAATTGTAAGAATAATAACTTATACGATAATTATAGTAAATAAAAATCTCAAAGTTCTCTCAATAATAATATCTCAATTGTCAGCATATCTAATACTGAATATATTTTTAGTTCTAAATATATCAACGATATGAGCAAAGCTACGTTATCTTCATATTTTAGTATTCATATTTCATATAGTTAATAGTTTCATATAATTATCCATGCAGTTAGGTTTCACTCCGACCATTAATAAGTTTACCATAAATACAGAAGAATTGTCCTTGATGCTCGGAAACATTAAAATCACATATGGTTTGGGCTCCTACGATATGCAAGTAATTTTGTCACAAGCTGTTAGAACAGTTGTACAAATTTTGTTCTGCAATCGGGGAAATTTAACAGAAGTTAGGTGCAAATCTTAGCATTCCTATATTTAAAAACTGATGTAGTCGCATTTTTTTGCGTTACATCGTGTTTCACAAGCTGTGTAAAGTGCTTGACCACCTATTCATACAACATGTTCTTTCATGCCAATACAAACTCATTTTACTCTATTCGCTCGTTGCGGATAAATTGTCTTAATTAAAAACGGCCGATTACTTCGTAAATATTAATATTTCTGGGATCATAAGAGACCTTGATTTTTTCGGCTTTGTAAATTAAAACTATTTCATTCGTAATATTCCAATGTGTCGGTTAACGCGCAGAAACTCACCAGAAGAGTCTCTTGATTGGGAATGATGGTACAGTGCAGTAGACCACCGAGGACTTGAGAAGCCTTTTCCCTCACCTCGAGTCTCTCGTCTTCCATCAATTTCAAAACAATAGTTTGAATTGTTTGTATCCACGTCTCGTTGCTTAATAAAATGCTCATATTGTGAAAGACAAGAACCTGTAGAAACTCAAGACAGCCCAACCTCGCCGACCAAAACGAACTTTGAGAGGTATTGCAAACTGCCTCCAATACGGCTGGCATGTGCTCCGGTGGAGTGAGAGATTGCGCCAGAACAACCACGGATCTCGAGCAAGTCTTGGACAACTCCTCGTCCTTCTCGTTGTTCTCCAGCTGGCACATTATTGGGTATACCCTATAAAATATGGACAGGGAGTCTAGATTTGAGTTCATCACTGTCTCGAAGATCCATTTGCAGATGATCTTGAATAATCTAATGTTCTTCTCACGTTTGACGTCGATGGCGCTTAGACTGTAATGGGAAATATGAAAATTTTGTAATACTACAAATTGGATGAGCATTTAAGGGATGGCAGCTACTTAAAAACTTAATGGAGCATTTCTTTGGGGCATTCGAAAGTCAGTCTGTTTAGGCAAATTTTATGCAAAGTTTTTTGAAATTCCTTTATACAGAAATGAAAGAAATATTTTCTAATATATATATAATAATTATTTTTTTTTTTTCTAAACTTAAGAAGCAATATAGAGACAAAATTTATCTTTGATAATGCTATTGTCCTCGAGTGAAGCGATGAAGCATTGCTGCTATAATTATACCGAAACATAAATAACTGCAGATTTGTTAACCTAGCCGCCACAACGGAAATGACTTTCAGTTTTCATACTCGCGGATAATTCACCGCTGAAAAATTCAAACAGCTTGTTAATATTTCATAAGTAAGATAATAAATTATTAATACAAGACTACACTTATTGCGCTTGCCAAATGAGTATTATTCTTACGACTTTATACATAACATCTTTTCATCTTGACAAATGACTCGATAAACGAGCTATTTAATTTACATATATAAGTGAAATGAAATTACTAACAGAAAAAAAAAAAAAGAAAAAAAAAAAAAAGAACTGTTCGACAGGACTACCAAAACATCAAATGAACTGTTTGATCACTACTTTTAAGATAATATAATTTTCATTCTTATACTCATATAGTACCTGCATATATGTACATATAAGTTACTATACATATATATATATATATATATATATATATATGTATATATATATATACAGTCTGTTCATTATAAGCTCTTAAAAAGTAAGAGAAAGAGACTGGAGATAAGTATTTCATTAATATAGGATTGCCCCTAAACAAAGATATAATCGACTCGGTAACTGTATAGCGCAACTTCTTACCTAGACGATACCTCTGGCGACTCGGCAATGTCGGTATCGATCTTGGTCGCAGCTAAACGTGACGCAAGCATTCGCGAGGATTCATCGTCCTCTACCAATGAGTGGAGTCTTGGATAAATTTTCTCAAGGAAGCTGCGTACTTCCGGGAATCGCTGATCCCCCACGGAGGTCGAGCCAAACTTCACATTCGTGTGAAACATGGAAACGAGGGTAGAAGCCAGTTGATCCCTCACGTTCTGGAAAGGACTCTCCTCGAGTCGGTTTTCGAAGCGTAATAGCAGCCGTCGCAGTAGCTCACCGACCCGCCACGACTGAATGAAAAGCGCGCCCTGGAGTATCATGAGCCTGCCACACTCGACGAACGATGCCTCGGATTGGCCCAGCGGCGACTCCTCCATCAGACATTCGAGCAGCCAATGCAACCGATTAGGATCTCTGTCCTTACTGGCGTTCGTTATGCAGAGGGTCCAATCATCGATACTCTCGACCGTAAGGTTACTCAGGGCCATGCGTATAACCGGAAGTAAGGCCGTCCACATTCTTGCCGTCATCTCGTAGGGCCAGTGCTTCGAGCCCTTGATGAGGCCGCAGATGATCTCGGTCGCACAGCGCTGCGAGCTCTCCTGCTTATCCAAGACGAGCTTCCGCAGATGGGGCAGAAATCGGTCGAGGAAGGCGTCACCGTGGTTACGGAACAAGCCCTTAAACACCAGCATATGCACATTGCGAAACTTGTCGCGGCCTTTCTTGCCCTCGAGGCTCAGGTAGTCGACAAATTTATCGACGTTCTGCTGATTACTGAAGAAGGCTATGATCTCGCGCTCCTGTTCTGTCATCGAGGCATCTTCGAAGCCCGGCTGCTCCGACGTTGGCGCATAGATCTCGAGCTCGTGGGGCCACGCGTAGAAGCCGACGTAGGACTTGTGGATGTAGCGGGGCTTTTCCCATTCTAAGGCATTGGTCGGCCGAGTGGCAGAGTTGTATTGGAGCCAAGTGTTATCGGCTCTGCAGCCCGGCTGGACTTTTCTCGATTCGCAATTGTCCGCAGGATTACTCTCGCCCAATGGAATTGGAATCTTTATCTGTTCGACAGCCAGAAAGTTCAGATATATTAATGGACGGTGAACGTTGCCAATCTCACGCGGGCTTTCTACTGACGTTTTAAAGAGAATTTGCTTTCCCCAGAAGCATACAATTTTTAAGTACTACAACGATTATACCATACGTTAGACCCTAGATTAAAAAAATAAAACTAAAAAAACGTACGATTGATTAATTGTACTACCTATAAATTTATTATTATTAAATAAATGAACAAATAAGATGAAATATAATTTTTCGTTGATTTATGTAATCTATACGAAATTTTTCTTAAATTCTTCGAGATACAATTTAAAAAATTCACGATTAATGATTTCGTCTTAGTCATGTAGCACAGTAACATTAAATTTGAATATATTGTATCATAACGAAGAATAAGATTTATAAATTCTCACAATTCTCTAAAATTTATGGTGTTAATATTAGAACTTTCTTAGATATATCGCAAAAAATGGAACTTGTTAGGAGCAAATTATTTGTTACAACGAAAAAAAAACTAAATATTTTTTGTCATATTTGACATAGAGTAAAGTTAGACTGTTAACAGATAAATTCAACAAAATTTGTGATTTAGAATATAAATATCGTATTGTATATTAGAATTATATACTTAATCAATAATTTTCTTATTTATAATAAAAATACCTTAACGTGATTCTTCTTAAGTTGTTTAAAAATGTACATTAACATTCTCAAAGCAACCTTTCTCTCATCTATAGACTCGTGTATTAATGCGTTAAGAAAAAAGCGCACAATTTTTGGTGAAAATACGTGATCTGGATGCATTAAAACATAAATGAAATTCATAGTCATTAATCGATGTCGCCAATGTAAGTTTTTTTCTAATAAAGCATTTAAAAGTTTGTCTAAAATTTCATTATATATTTTTAAACTATTCTCTCCCGATAGTCGCAAATTTTCCTTTCCCATCTCGATTTCTTCATCGGTAGGTTGCGGCACATTAAGCCTTGCATTATTATTCCAAAAATTTGCCGCGGCTGCTACACAAGAATCCGGTATTTCTAAACTGATATTAGTCGAATAAAATGTTTCATTAACTAAATCGACGATGCTGTCTTTTAAGCGAATAACGGACAATTTTTCAGAAGGCTCGGATAATACTAAAGCAGGCCATAAGCTTTTAATGAATTCCCAATCTTGTTTGACTAGCAGAAATTCGTGGTCATTTATTTTTCGTGTTATCAGATACAGAATACCCTGAAATAAATACAATAATATACAGAATTAAAAATTTAATTAAAGCCTATGTTTTACTATGTAAGATTAATTGAAATCTAATTGAAAATTACTAACCTTATAAGCACTATGATTAGCTATTGGATCACGTTCAAGAATTTCAATAATTTTCGGTGCCAGGACTATATATGCATTTGGAAAGTAACCAAGTGCTAGTTGAATCGTTTCTTGAGCCCTTAATCTTATTACACTATACTGACTAGTACTCAACTTTAGCACGTTGATTAAAATAGTCTTGTGAGTTTCAGTAAATACTGGTGTAGTGCATACTTTACGCTTTTGATGTTGTAAATTGGCGCGTTCCAGTATAAGTATTGGTAACCAGCCGTTGTTTCCAGTCATCTTGTTTTCGACAACCTTTGAAATACTATCAAATAATATGGTGGAAAACTTCAAGCTCGAATCCAATGACATTCGTAATTTACCGAGAAGAAGATTTTGCCAAATCTGTAATATTAAGAAAATACGTATATGTATAAGGGTATGAAAAGTAAAATTGATTAGTTAATAATTTCATAAGAAATTACTTAATGTATTATCATTAATTTTGCAAAATTCAAGCACTGATTTCCATATAATTTTTTTTTTTTTTTTTTTTTTTTTTTTTTTGTAATATTAGGAAATGTCGTAAATTACCAGTTGTAGGATTATTAAGCTTCTTGTATCATCTTCAACATTTTTCAACATTATTTCTTGAAGCGCTGACATAGTTTCTACCAAAAAACATCGTACATTACTACCGTCAGGCATTTGTATTTCCCCCGAGTTTCCAATTATGGGCTCTAATCGTTCGATGGAATTCTCATAAGGTTTCATTTGAAGAGGAGGTTCTGTCCAAAATGGCAATGCAGAGTCACAACCATCCAAAATATTGAATATAATTCTTAGCACAATTTGTAATTCATCTCTACAAATATAACAAATACGTTAACAAACTATCGTCCATTAAATTACTATATGTATATATTTTTTTTCGGTTACACGCGCGCGCGCGCGCGCACGCTCACTCACTCGCTCACTAACAAACATTAACACATGCATACATACATACATACATACATACATACATACATGCATGCATCAAACTATATTTCTTATTACAATTATATGCAATAAAATACAATATTAGTCGGAATTTTCAATTCAGAATAATCATGTCATATGAATGTTTAAATGAGACAATATTGTATCTCGTGTCTATTAAATTATTCTAAACAACAAAGACTAAACGAATATTTAAAATAAGAAAAAGTAGGGAAAAGTATGATAAATTAAAATGATCATTTGACCATCCAATTTTCCAAAACAAAACACATTAAGCTTAGAAAAACTTGTTTACCGAGATAAAGAATTTTCTGTCTTAATAAAATTCTGTATAGATGTAATGGCCGGCATAAAAAACTTTGTAAAAATTATTTGTAAAGCCTCTTGCTCCTTTTTCCCAGGAACGTATACTTTTAGTTTTGTTGACTTGATCTTGACGGTCTCACCCCAGTCCTTGATGTACAGATAATCGAGATCATCGAGATTCCGCTCCACATTAATATTCATCACATTCGACAGAGACAGCATGACATTACTGAGTGTGAAGCAGCCGAGTAGATTTCCCTCTCGTGACTTCAAACGAATAACCTTTTCGATGATTTTGTGAAGGGTGTCCATGTAAGGTAGAAGCGCATCTCCACGAGTAAATACCAAACGATTGAGCAGCAATAGTGGATAAAGCAGCTGATTATCAAGATTCTCGGCCTTAATGACGTCGTCACCCTCGCCGATAACGTCAAGGACCTTCTCCGAGAGGAAAGGAAAGAGGGCTCTCAGTGTCTCCACACTGTTGACACTGCTGAAAACCTTACACAGGATAGCAACCAACTGTCCAGATACTTGAGTCTCGAGCACATGCTCGACAATAAAAGTCCGTAGCTTATTTAACGCGCTTAAAAATATCGAGTGACTCGTCTGTCTCAACATAGACGAAAACGTCCGATCTAGCGCTGATTCCAGCATCGTCTCGGAGCGACTCCTGCCGTTACTGTTCGTATTGTTCTCGAGTCGAACGGGCACGACGGAGCTTGAATCTATCCAAACGAAAACCTTATCCATAAATTGCAAGATAAAATCTTCGAAACGTGAGGTTTCTTCGCATATGAGACGATCGTCGTCACTCATATCGGCCTTCGATTTCGAACAGTCAACGATGGGGATCATCGTCACGTAAGTCGTTATGAGACTAAAAGTCACGAAACATTTATTCACATCGTTCGGATCTATGCCAGACAGAGATGCAAACAGGAGCGGTAAAACGTGCAGTGGTCCTTCCGGAAATGCATATTCTGAAAGAATAATTCACTACTGTATTTTTGTATAACTTTCGGCAAAATTGTATCTATTTTTTTTTGTTGAAATTGTTTCGATATTAGCCGATATTTGTTAACTGTTTGGTAATTCAATAATTATTAAAATCTTTTTTATAAGGCAAACTAGAAATATACTACTTTAAAAATAATTCGCGTTTCCGACAAAAATTTTGTCAACCTTCTAACATTTCCATGAACAACAATCGATCAAAACCATACAACAATTTAATCAACGATGCATAAATAATGCATAATAACATTTGCAAATAAAAAGCACCCGTATGAATAATGAAAAAATGAACTATACGAAACTTGCGGTTTTAAATGAATAATTATTACCTTTATTGGGAATATGTGATCCTTGAACCAATGGTCGAGATATTGTGATCATACACATCATAGCAGTTATTAGTTTATGAGGCTCAATATCGCTACCGAGGGTAGGATAAACCTTTTCTACAACATTTGGTATTACGAGATTTGGTCTCATTATAGCAAGATAATGCAATGCATCGTAGAATATTGGTGAACAACGTTTATTAAAAATACCAGTCATAGCTATTGGTATCATACTATTGACAAATACATCGATATCACTATCGGTCAATTTGTGAGATTCGGGTATTGGTGTTTTCCATGTTGGTTTTGATTGATTAATTTGATATCGCTCTCTGAGCAGAAATTCAATTACAAAAATTAATGTAAATTTAGGAATTTGAATGTACGTTGTTGCAGAAATATAATTCTTACCTATGAAGTCTTAAAACTACAAAATATGAAATATTTACGAATAATTCTCCGAGCTTCTTAAGCCATGAACCATAATTAGCCGGATGAAAGTAAGTTTCAATAGTCTTCAAAAATTTGTCTAAATAAATTTGTGCACTAGATTTATTTCCCTAAAAATTTCATCAACATATTATAAAACTCTGATAAAATTAAAATTATGTTAAAGTTTTAACTATACTAACTAAAACCGATGCAATCCAGAGACCTATAAAATTTGGTGCGATTCTACAAGTACTATTGAATCTCATTTTCTTATAGCAAACAGGCAAATTAAAACTTTGAACAAATCTTGTAAACATTAAAGGCATGTAAGGCTCCCAGTCGATATATCCAATATTATAATATGCTAATTTTGATATTAAATTCATCACATGATTTCCCCACGTATGAGCATTGGAATTACAGACTTTCCACAAGTCCATTAATTCATGAAACCATAATTCATGACCAATCGAATGGTGTTCTGGAGCTAATTGTACTGGCAAAAACAATTGAAAACCTTTCATAGTCATTTGCATAACATAAGTGTAAAATGGACATATTTGAGGTTTTAATTCATCTAATATTTCTTGCGTTGTATTTATCTATACAAAAATTAATATTTAAAGACAAGTTTAATAATACCTTAAAAGTTCATAAACATTCATTTTAATAAAATTTTGAACTTCAACTTACTGGAAAATAAACTTTTGCCACGCATATTAAACTTTCTAATAAATTTTTCAAATAACTGGGATAATGATGGAAGGAGATTTGCATTGGTTTTCTCGCTGTTATACAGAAGAACAAGTTATACAAAGGCCTCCATGGCAATTCCAATTCTTTAGGTGAAATTAAATCGTTCTTTCTAAATAATAATTAAAAGAAATATATCATGTATTTGTTTGTAAAAAAAAGAATGAAATAAAATTTAAAAAAAAAAATAATAAAAAAAAAAGTTTCAATTATGTATATATATATATATATTTTTAAAACCTTATAATTATATATAAATGATAACCAAAGATACCGACTAATGCAGGTTCTAAATTTGGAATAGTCATTAATTCGTATAACACCTTGATAAAAGTTATATGATCTTCTTTTGTAAATCTCAAGTCATATAAGGTTACGTATCTAAAAAAGAAAATAAGATATTTGAATGTACAATGTAATTAACGTATTGGAAAAGAAGATTGATATATTAATAACGATTTACTTGTATAACATATTTGACCATATGACACAATCAGGCTTTATTTTCCTCATCATTACACATCTTCCTAAATTTCCCTTAATTTTTGCAAGTAAAGCATCGGCTTCGTCATCAAGCTTATTCGAATACGACAGAAGCCTATTTGTAAGTAATTCTTTTTGAAACGATGTCTTTTCTTTAAAATCTAAACAATCACTTGGTAGTTCGTCAGTTGTATCGATACTAGATAAATCATCAGACGTTTGTTCAAAATATTCATCTTCTAATTCGCCTATGAAATCCATCGTTAAAATCCTAAGATTTTAATGTAAAGAAATAATATTTTTAATCCAAAAATGCTGATAAAAAAATATTACACAAATAGTTACAATAAAAATGATAAATATAATAACCTTACTTATTAATGATAAAAGTCGATTTTGGTCGTATTATGATAAAATATTCTACAATTTTCTCAGTCTTCAAAAGTTCGTCTCATTGCACTGATCATTTTCATTGAGTCACGCTTTGTGTTTTCACAACGAATGGCCAAAAATGTTTTTGTGTTTTTTAATATATGTATAATGATACGCGTGACAATTGACAAAGAAGGGAAAAAGCGCCACTCATTACGATTTTTACGCCTTGTAAACGGCGGGAATAAAGAAGTTCTTTTTAATTACGAATAATTGAAGCTTAATTTGCTTGAGTATTGTAAATGCATTGTAAATTTGAATTATCAATCGTTATTGTAATTATTTTTCATATTTTAAAAATTTCATCTATTATGTTTAACGATAATTTGTTAAGTGCTTCATTTATGACGCTACATCAATTTCAATGATGATGATTATGATGATGACGACGACGACGACGACGACGACGACGACGACGACGACGACGACGACGACGACGACGACGACGACGACGACGACGACGACGACGACGACGACGACGACGACGACGACGACGACGACGACGACGACGACGACGACGACGACGACGACGACGACGACGACGACGACGACGACGACGACGACGACGACGACGACGACGACGACGACGACGACGACGACGACGACGACGACGACGACGACGACGACGACGACGACGACGACGACGACGACGACGACGACGACGACGACGACGACGACGACGACGACGACGACGACGACGACGACGACGACGACGACGACGACGACGACGACGACGACGACGACGACGACGACGACGACGACGACGACGACGACGACGACGACGACGACGACGACGACGACGACGACGACGACGACGACGACGACGACGACGACGACGACGACGACGACGACGACGACGACGACGACGACGACGACGACGACGACGACGACGACGACGACGACGACGACGACGACGACGACGACGACGACGACGACGACGATAATAATTATTATTATTAATACTATTAATAAATATTCAATGCAGGTTTAATGGAATGCATATATAACTCATTAGTCGATACTCAATATAGATTGAATGGAATAATCAACTACTGCTAAACTTCGTTCTTACTTTTTAAAAACAAAAACTTATTGATTCATTTAACATTTTACTTACTTTTATTAGTTTAAGCGTTTTACTTATCGACTGTTAAACTCCATATATATATTTGAGCAATGCGTTAATTTGAAGATTAAAATTTTTTAAATCAATCGAATATTACCATGTCGTGTAATATTATTATTATTATGGAAGTTTAAAGTCGCGTGAAAACGGAACGATCAGTGGGTGAAGATGACCATGCACCACGCAGGGAGGCACGAGCAGGCAATGCGCGCACGCACACACGCGCGCACGCAAAAAATGTGTGCCTCGGCTGGGTGTGTTGTTTGAATTTGATTCCATGACCAGTGAAATGACTTTCAATTTTACTTCATTCGGTTTATCAAATTTGAGAAATTTGAAAAATTGAAATCTGTAGCAAAAAAATTATGTACACGTTGAAGTGCATTTCAAGACTTCCACTCAACATATTAAGTAAGATAAATTGAATTAAAAATACAAGAAATAAAAGAGCAATGACAATGCTCTTATAGGTTATATCTTATGCCTTATAAGCAAATAATGTTATAAGTCATTATTAATTTGAATGATATAATACATACGTATATTTTATTTAAATTTTTCTAAAATTATTTTATATTTCAAGCTTTTCAACCAATTGCAAAATGTTCATCGAAAGGAATTCAAAATGCAACATTACAGTACAGGCAGAGCGTGCAAAATGTTATGCAAGGTGTAGCATATGGTCAGCCAACACCTTGGACGCATTCGCATCTTATAAAAGATGGAGAAGTTGTACCAGGCATCGACGTAAATGAATTTCAAGCTAGACGCAATAAACTAATGGAGAAAATTTCACGCGTAAACAAATCATGTTTCAAAATCTCTGCACATGTTGTAATAATACCGTCTGCTTCTAAAGTTTATATGTCAGATAAAATACCTTATGTTTTTCGACAAAATACAGATTTTTTGTATCTCACTGGTTGTCAAGAGCCTAATTCTATATTGCTAATGACAGCAATAAATGATAATTATACATCAACACTGTTTATGCAGCCAAAAAATCCTCAAATAGAATTGTGGGAAGGTCCAAGGACAGGAGTCACTGCAGCCTTACCTTTTTTCCAAGTTGATCAAGTATTTCCAGTTTCAGAATTTCATTCCATTTTACAATCTTTTTTAAATGCACATAAAAATAGTATTGTTTGGTACGATGGTGCAAATATTCTGCAAGCCGAAGTACATCAGAATCTCCAACAACTTATAAAGACATTAAATAAACAAGAATTTAATAACCCTAAAAGCTTCCTTCACGAATTACGTGTCATTAAATCGAAGGCTGAACAGAATTTAATGAGAAGGAGTTGTGAGATTGCGTCCGCGGCTATATCAGAAACAATAAGAAAATCAAAAATAGGAATGACCGAACATGAGTTATTTGCTACCGTTGATTATGAAAGTCGGATGAGAGGTGCTGAATTTTTGGCTTATCCTCCAGTTGTAGCTGGTGGTAAAAATGCAAACGTTATTCATTATATTGCAAATAATCAATTTGTATGTGATAAGGAAATGGTTTTGATGGATGCGGGTGAGTTTCTATTACATAGTCTTGAAATTCTTTTAATTTTACCTACTTACTTATCCGAGTAAGCAGTACCTACTTACTTAAATTTTAATTTAACTTATAGCAATAATTAAATAGAAAATCTGCATTATTCATAGAGTTACCGTTATAAATTCATAAACGGACATAAATTTCCAAAAATAAAATAAATAATATTTATATTATGAATTTATGCGTTTGACCAAAACTTATTTTATACCTAAAGGTTGCGAATACCATGGATATACTTCTGATATCACAAGAACGTGGCCAATTAATGGTACTTTTACACCTAACCAAAGAATTTTATACGAAATTATTTTGGATATTCAAAAGACCTTAATAAACAAATTAAAAGAAATGCCAAGTCTTGATATTATTTATCATGATATGTGTCGTTTACTGGGAAAAAGGCTACAAGAAGAATGCATAATATCAAAAAATTTAAATACAGCTCAATTACTGGAGGCGGCTCATCATTGTTGCCCTCATCACGTTAGTCATTATTTGGGAATGGATGTTCACGATACAATGAACATTTCTCTGTATAATCCAGTTCTTCCAGGAATGATTATAACTGTTGAACCAGGTTTGTTTATTATACGTTAAAATATAATATTAATAAAATAAAAAGTATAATCAGGGTTTAAAAAAATATTTAAATGAATCGATGAATTTGTATCAATTAAAATGTAAATTATTAAATGTAATTGCATTACCACATCGTATACTACTGCATACATGCGTGTATTGTAATAATTTTTCTAATTAAGTGTTCTATTTTGTATACTAAAAAAATTTAAGGCTTGCTATTTAAAATTAATCATTATTATCATTTATAGCACATCAATTTAGATTGTTTATTTATTTTCATAAAATAATTGATTTTGTGCTATTAACATTGCATGGTTATATTATTTAACAATAGATCATAAAATAAACTTAATAATTATGTATTGGATAATATAAGGTGCATGATATCGATAAAACAAGTGACTCATTTATATGATCGTCAGGTATCTATTTAAACTCAAACAATAAGTTTGTTCCATCGGAATTTCATGGTCTTGGGATTAGATTAGAGGATAACATTTTAATTCACGAACATACACCTGAAATTCTAACTGAAAGCTGTCCCAAAGAAGTAATGGAAATCGAAATTCTTGCACAGCAGAATCAAACGTAGCATAAAATTAGTATATGCTTATTAAATTGTTACGATTATTAAAAAAATTAATTTGAACAAATGTGTAACAACATTAGTTTATTTAAATTCTTATTAATTATTCATATATTGGCCAATTCGGAAAAAAATTAATATTGTAAATTTGTAGCCAATAAAGTATAACTAAAAGAAATAATAAAAGAGCATATACAGAGAGTGCTATCATGAATAACAATTTTATATAATATCAAACTATCTTGTCCTAAAAATTAATATTTAATAGACACAAATAATGAACATACGTTTGGAAATATAAAGAGATGAAATATTAATTAATATAAAAAAGAGAGAAAAAACGGTAAGATATATACAGTAATTATACAAAAAAATTGAGTAAAAATGTCGATAATGTAAAAATAAAAAAATAGACGTTATTTTGTTGAAGAAATTTGTAAAAATCTGTAATGATTTAGTAAAATTATTATCAGTATTTATATTTTAGCTTTGTGTCGGTAAGTTTCAGTGTAATAAAGTTGTTAAGCTGTTTGGATCGCAAACGTGCCCAGATCAAATGATTGTGGAGAGCATGAATTTGTGCGGCCGCAAACGCTGCACTTTCTGAGTAGAGTACAGTGGTACATCCAAGTCCTACGTACAAACATGATAATTTTGTAAAAAATATGTATATCGATAAGTATTATAAATAAAATATAAAAATATGCTTATAAATTTTACAGACTAAATGTTATTTTTTAGTTAATTTTACGACTAACAACGGACGGACATTAAATTCACTAGTTATATACACGTAATAATTCACAAATCGATCCCAGATAACAAGCTGATAATTAATTATTAATCACATTAGTCATTAATATGTTGTATCAACGTTAACGCTATTGTGCACTCATAAATAATGAAAAATAAAGTGAAAATGAATCAATTCTTTTAATCTATGACATAATTTGTTGGAAGCTTTTAAAGAAAGAAAATTTTTTAATACATATTATTATTATGTATTATTAATAAAGTTTAATATATATATATATATATATATATATATATTTTTTTTTAATATATATTCAACAATATGTGCATTCACGTTAATTAACAATTTAAACTAATTAAAACGATTTTTTCCCAATATTTGAAAATAATGTGCCAACGTGGCGCATTCAATATGCCGAAACATATTGCGCAAGTATACTTATACTTGATTGATAAAACGGTAAAAATTATCAATACAGTTTATTGCAATGTATGTACGGTGATCAATGCTCACCTGATGGAATTTTGAGAGACGACCATATGTCTTGCACCAGGTCTACAGTTTTGCCGGGTGGACAATTGATGACAGGGAATGCTGAGTTGCCGGACAGCACGGGACCTAAGCCGTTACTTCGACCAGCCACGGCAATTAGCACCACCTAAAATACGATCAGCAACAACGTAATTAAGGAAAAAAATTGATAAAATGAGAAGGAATGACCAATGGTAGCATTGATATCTCTACGACTTTGACTATATATTTTTTATCGCTTTAATTGGTTGGATTAAGTCTTCGCAAGCCCCAAATACACGAACAGTCAAGCACCAACAAGATAAATGAGAGCAAGAGATTTAGGAGGAAATAAAAATCGCTATTTGAATATTTGTATTGAAAAAATATCATTGAAATTCGAAAATATTATAAAATGAATTATAAAACGAAGGGGCAAATAATAGAATTGGTAGTAATATTCTAAAAATTAATACAGTTATTCATGAGATATTTAACAATTAAAATTACATTTGCATTATAATTGCGAAATTGAAGATTCTAAGTTAGTATTAAATAGAGACTGAACATCTGAAATATATAAAGAACAGCGTGATTTTGGGGAGCATAGTTGGTTATCTATTAGTACAAAAAGAAAAAAAAAAGAGAGAAAAAAAAGCCAATTATCTTATTTTATACTATTGCAAGTCAAATATTTTACTAATAATTTAACTGCAAATAAACGTGGCTGACGTTACTTTTTCACCGTTACCCTCGTACTCCGAGAGTATGCGCAGCGTCTCCTCTGTACTCTTGTGGGCACTGCACACCCTCAGTTGGGCCTTTAAGCCTAAAGCTTGGGCATGATTAATAATCGATTCACTGTGCGACGTATCACTCGGGGAGCCCATCAAGATAATAACGTGCGCACTTGGCGATGATACGAGAAAGTCCATCTGGTCAGCCACCCATTTAAAATTGCGTTTCACTATATCTAAGTCGGACTGCTCTACCGTCTTTAGATTCCTGTAAACCTAAATGAAACACACGATTCCTTTTTTTTTTTTTTTTTTTTTTTTTTTTTTTTTGGGTATTTACGGTGTATTTTTAATGAACAGTGGTGATTTTAATTTAGTTTTATGTATATTCCGAGAGCGATGGAAGCGATTATTACTCCCTTTAAATCAGTTGAAGGCGTAAATTCTATCTCTAGAAGGACATTAAATTTATTATTGAATTCAAATAATAGAAATGTTATGAAATTTTGAAACTTAATCAGTTGTAGCTAATTTATGTGAAAAATACATTTCTTAATTTAGCCGTAGTATTTCATAGTTAGCGTTATTATTATCAGAGTTTATAACAAAATATGTTTACACTTTCTTGAATATTACAAAATAAAAGTCTTAAATAATCATAGATAATTATTTAACGCTCGAGTTACATATATATAAACCTTTCGATATATATATATATATTTTTATATATGAAAGAAGTGTAAAAAGATAAATATTCGGACAGACGGACAAAGAAGTAAGCGCGCAAACGTTTGAACGTAAGATGAGCAGCAGAATCGATTAGTGAAAGTCTTGGATAATAAAATCCAAATTCACCTGTTTATCTTTCATTAGCCTCTTGTCATTATTAGGCCACAATCTCCAAGAATCACTGTCGATTACATCGGCCACGAGGATATCTTGGTTTTCGTCAATGCCAAACTCAATCTTCATATCGACGAGAGTACAATCTCGCGTTAACCAGGCTCTTTCTAGAATTTCGAATACGGCGACGGTCGTACGCAACATAATGTCGTATTCCTGCTTATCGATCTTCATGTCGTTACACTTGAATGCGGTCGAGATAATTTGTGCTTCGCACCATTGAGGATCGTGATTGGCATCGTCCTTATAGAATGTTTCCATCAGCGGAGGATTGAATCGATAACCCTCCGGCACCCCTAATTACAAATAACAAACTACATTTTATATTTTTGCCAGTTTCACTATTAACCAGTTAACAATCAGCTCATTTTCCGTAAAATTAATGCCAAGTAAATTTATATTTAGATGTAAACTATTACTGTTTGTCATTGAAAAGCAATCATATGAAGAAATACTCAGCTCATTTTATCGACTAAAAAAAGTATTAGAAATTGTTTATCGAAGCAACTGTAGGATAGAAATAAATTATGATTTTCGTTACATTAGATATATCGATGACTAAACCTTGGGCGGATAAACGAAAGTTACATTATGTACACGATATGTTACACTTAATAGAAATGATTAAATTGCTTATATAATGTGTATGAAACAATTTCTTGAATTATGCGAAGAAATAAATTTGAATGTAATTCTAAATATCATTATATATTGTGATTAAGAATATTCATTGAATTATATAAGCAAATAAATGTAATTATTATAGATTCAGTAGTATTTACTGTAGTGGCTCAATGAAGAAAATTAATATTAAATACTGAATTTGTTTGTTAATTAAAAAACATGTGTATATATATATATATATTTTTTTTTTTTTTATAAAATATATTAATTCGTATTATAATTATTCTGATAATTAGTTCGGACAAAAAGGAGCAATCGATGTGGATTCGCTGAGAATAATATACACTTATCGATTGTTCAATAAACCGTGTTGACAATCAACGAATCATTTAAGTCATTAGCGAACCAATATGAAAAAGTAAAAAAGTTACGGAAAACGCAAAAGATTTAGACAATATATTAATAATATTGAATATCGCGATACATGATCCTTCGGTGTAAAGACTACTGGCGTTTGTAACGCGAGATTACAAAATGTAATTATATACAACAAAATTTTCTTGACACTTTTATTTTACCAACATTATTGTAAAAGTATTGTAATTCTAAACGAGATACAATATTGTGATAATATTTTTATAGACGGGAGTTTGAATAATTTACATAGATCATTTTATGTTGAAAATGTTTAACAAATACACGAATGTGTACACATAATATGATATGTAAAAATTAAAAAATAATATGTGAAGTAAATAGTTTCGTATTATTACGTATGATAACGATAAGTATTAAATGAAAAAAGATTATTAATAAAATGCATGCATTTGTTAAATTGAGCAGAGTTTAGTTGATAATTGCAAATATTACGTTTTCGCGGCAGGATATTGAAAATTGGCATAACAATATGTAATACTTAAGAAAAAGAAGCGTATCGCCCTATTGTCCCTTTCGCAAGGAGAAAATGCAACGATCATTGCTGGAACGTACAAGCTAATGATAAATGATAAATGATAAATCAAACGCAACCTTGATTCCTTATGATATAGCTGCCGGTGGCGAGTCGTCTAGTGACCCACTCGATGGGCACCATCTCGCACTTCCGGGCGATGAATGCCGTTTCGCCTGCGACCTTGACAAACGCTGTTTTTATGCCGACTTCATTGAGCAGCTGGAAGACCTTGGCATTGGTGGAGTTACTAATGGCAGCCTTGCCCTCCAAATCGTGAGCTTTGGCTCCATCGCCAGCTGTTATTCGGTCCTTATTCTCAACGTAGCAGAGGTCCGAATTGTCCAAGAGCTGGTACACCTTCTTCGTCTTACCCTCGATCAAAAGCTCGCCCAACTTATAACCTGTATAAATTAAATTGCTCGATCACGTGGACGCCTATTGTTTACATCGTCGAAATCGGTCAGCGAGTTGCGGGAGGTGGAGTTCCATGGCGGGGAGGGGGATTGCGAGGGGAGGAGATTACACAATTGTTAAAGAGAATTAAGGGAGCCCAGGAAAGGACAAAATTAACAGTATAAATAATAATAATAATCATCGAGAATGTATTTTCGAATATTTCAAATATTTCGAATGTTGAGTCCCGATCCCTTCCGTCCATCATATATTTTTCATATTCTGTTCTCCCACTTTTTTTCGTTCGCTCACCATATACTACTGTAATATATCACGTGGGCATGGATATAACGAACGAAGAGAATTTATTAGTGTAGTGCCGGTTGTGGGAAAGTTTTTATCAAATCTCATCGCAGACTCGGAGATCCAGGTAAGTAACATATATTTCTTACTGTTGGCCGTTCGCACAAATGTTCGCTACGCAATTTAAAATCATGTCCCACAATCGTTTACGAATGCAAACTGCCTTTAAAGCCAATATTAATTAGAGTAACCTCTTAAATAGTTTGTAAGCGTAAACAATCGTTATTAAAAATAGTTCTAAGCATTAAGAAATATCTCTTCGTCATTCGATGTCCAATCGGATAATCGGTAATTGCTCTGATTTATCGAGTATTTAGTATTTTATTATAAAGAAAAATAAAGATAAGCACGAGGAGCTTTGTAATGAAAATTTCAGAATAATAGAGAGAGAGAGAGAGAGAGAGAGAGAGAGAGAGATAACGTACAGACAGACAGCTCAGGAGTAATTGTTGTAGGGGATGAAAGATAAACAAAAAGAGGTTAACCGACGTGCATTTCAAATATAAATTGACAAGTGACATTCAATGAATGAGCAGCTCGTCCGTACAGTTCAATCGAAAATTGGAAAAGAGAGTGCGCGTGAAAGTAGGGAGGACCGAAAAGTAAAAAAACTCACCGTCCATCTTCTCTCTCAAATGCCTATCGCTCGAATGCTGAGTAAAACTCACGAGTCCGCGTGCGTGTTCCCTATCACCTCTTCAGCGGTTTTGTACTTCTGACGTAAATTTTGTGTTTGACAGTGTCGCTCCCGAGCGGCTAATATTCCGAACTTCACCCGCGAGTTCTTCGACGCGAAACACAAAATTAATTCTAAGTAGAGGGGCGCTTTGTGGCAGTGGGGCGGGGCGGGGAGGGGGAGGGACGCGCTCAGTTAAAGAAATGCTGGGGAATGTTTCGATCGTGATACCATTAAAGATATTTCGCATGTTTGTTCTTGACAGAAAATTCATTTTATAACATATTTCTTTGAAGCTCTGCTGCTACGTAAGCGCTTGCAATTATTAAAGTTTTATTTAAATAGTAATAAATTTTTAATCTCAATAGCAGGCTGCTTCTAGCTTATATTTCAAATTAAGTTTTTAGTAATTTAAAAAAGCTTATTATATAGTCTAGAAATTAATCGATCAATTGCCAGATATCACCACGTAAGTACAGGTAATTATATATATATATATATATATATATATATATTTTTTTTTTTATACCATTAATTTATCTCTCTGGTTTCTATTTTTTAAAATAAATTATCATTCTCCATCTCTCATTATTATACCAATGTAGTTTTTTTTTTTTTAATTAATACATGCTCATACTTATTTAATTCATTAAATATATCAATACATTCGTTAATTCGTCCTTAATTGCACTTGAAACACTTGCTTATTAAAGAGATAATATTTTTACATTTTAATCTGCTAGTTGATTTGTAAACTTTGTACTGTCTATCACACTACGAATATCTAATTTTGACGTTAAATTTTACATTGCATTTGAGATGTTACATATTAATCATAATAATTCTACTTGAACGAATTGTTTATTTGATGATTAAATTATCGCTATCCATAACTCTTTCATTTATTTTTAAATTCTTATAAATGTGCATACATAATCATCAACACTAGCATCTAAAACGAAATACAATTGTTTTTTAAATTTTCATTCCACTCTGACAATTTCAATAAATACTATAATGTGAGTTAATTGTTAATAATATTGCGGCATACAAATGCTATTCTATAAATATGAAAAATTGTTAGTTTTATGTTTTATATGCTTTTTCATTACATACAATTCATATTAAGTAAATATGTACATTTAATACATAAATATAAATCTAAATATATAATCGATTACATCGTTATTACGAATATGTCGTTCTGTACATTGTAACGATTTCAGTCATTGTAGCTAAAGAATTAATGTAATTAAAGAAATACTAAAAGTTTGCGTTAAGCAATTAATAATTATTACAAATCTATATGTAACCCGGCGAAATGAATATCGCAAATAACTGAATTTATAAAACAAAAAAAAAACAAAAAAAAACAAAAAAAAAAAACAAAAAAAAACAAAAACAAAAAACAAAAAAAAACTTGATGCGTTATTATTGCCTTACACGAGTATATTGAAAACAATTTATAAAAATGAAATATCCGTGCAGCTAATTTCTAATAAATTACAATCTCTAAGGGATTGCATTAGTTATACTGTATGGAAGTGAGGATACGAGAAAAAAATATTGTCACCCGAATTTTTCTATAATACTTTGATTCGTTCATTTATAATAAAAAAATTTTTTTTAATGAAATAATATCATTTTACGTACATCATTCGAATTAATGTAAAGTTAAAAAAAAAAAAAAAGATGTACTTTTAGTGATTCTCTGTAATTGAATAATTTAAGAAAATTAAATTGAAATAGTTTAATTCAATAATTGTTATTAGTTAATTTATTTGTCGTTACTAAATTAATTAATCTCAACTTAGATCTATCTGTATTTTTATTTTATCAATTCTAGTTTTTAATCAAATTGAAACGATAGTAAACAATCTTTGTAAATAAAGAAATATAAGAGCATGTATGTAAATATGTGCTGACGCAATTAAATTTGATATCTTCATGTTTTCGATAATTTTACACGATGGAATAAAAATTATTAAAGATTCGAAAGCAACGATTCAAAAATCATAAACAATGTCTAATTTACATATTATTTGAGTATTAACACAGTTTTAGAAATATTTATTCTTCTCTTCAATACTTATAATTGTAATAAGAACGACCCCATTTGTACAGCAGAAAGAAAAGCTATTTTATCGAATGTTAATTTATTAATAATTAATTGATCGAAAAAAAAAAGAAAAAAAATATATTCAATATTTATCTATGAGTATTTGATATTTGAGCATTAAATAATTTAAACGTCATTTAATATAATTGTATTTAATTTGTAATATTTTTTTTTATTTGCATTAAGTGCGGCAAATTTTGTTCCCTGCGTTTATATCAGATTTTACCATTACAGGTTAATATTACTTAAACTGCCGCAAATTCAAAAGTATCAAAGTAATCCCGAGCTATTTGAATCGTCCTCGGAATCCATCAAATACTATTTATTTCATACGCATTGTTCGGTTATGCTCATCGAAGCAATCCATAAGCACGTATATTCATCACTTTCTACTTTGCTCGTTCATCCATCCCGAGGAAATAATAATCGTTTTCTCGCTTTCTACCCGATCCTAATCCTACAAAGTCAACACCTCCGCATCTCTTGACGTCACCAGGCACTTATCACTGTGTCACAAACACTGTGACTAATATCTACATCTTAAATATTCACATTATTTTTTATGATATGTGCAGAGTAACAAGTGTCCGAAAACCCTCCCCTGGCGCGTCGGTAAATACCAGTGGGCACGCAGCAGGTGGTAAAGAAAATGATATATAAGCACGGAGAGTAATACGCTTTTTTTCTTTTTTTTTTAAGACATAGCGCTGAGATTTAATAGAACGGTTGTTAAATATTGAATTTTTTTGGTATTAAGTGTTTGTGGTTTCAAGTCGTAATGTAAATTCAATCGACGTTGTTTTGAGCAATGTTTAATCGAATTCAAAATGAATGTGCCCAAAATGGATTAATATTTATAATTAACGAGATGAATCAATATTGCGGATAAGTCATAATTATGAAAAATGAGGTAAAAAATTATGCACTTTTTTTTTTGTGCATTTGTAGTAAGAGAGGATATGGCGAACAATTTTGTTATGATATACAAAAAATTTTTTTTTTTTAAATTAATAATATCCATGTGTATATTTGATTTATAATTTCATTGACTTTTTTACTATGTTTAGTGTATTTACCTTTGTATTTGTAAAATTACTTTACAAGAATTCACACGTGCACAAAATTACGAGCACTCAGCGAACAAAATAAAGAGTTGAAAAAATTATCAGTAACATTTAAAATATTTAAAAATTTCATATTAAAAAAAAAATATAAAAAATTTCTTTATTAAAATCTGTATTAAACAACATGACACAAAAAATTGGCTTTTCTTTTTCTCATGAAATATTCATTTAGTATTCCTCGTTTCATTTTAAAAACTTGAATTTCTATTAATGTAATTTATTAGAAAATGAGTATGAAGAATATTAAAAAAAGAATAATGTCATCTTATATGCCCTAGTCTCGATTTATAAATATTACAAGTTGAGATATATATTTAGTATTGTTATTAGAATAATTATTCAAATATCTAATATTAATAAATCATGTATAGTATTGTAGTTATTTTTATAAATTAGTAAATGCAATGCACAGAGATCATGGACGAATTACGTTATCATTATTCGCTGAATTAGTTTTTACTTTACAGAACAATTAGAAGGGAATTACTTGTGCAAAATATGATTTTTTTTTTAAACAACATCTGCTATATAGTTCCGTGGACCATTTACAATTACTTGTAAATTACTGAATTCTTTTTGGCAAAATCTTATTAACATAAACAGTGCTAATTATTATAAATATACAGTTTTAAAAAAATAACGAAAATAAATAGAATTAACTCAGCGCAATTACAATTACATTCGCATAATTCAGTGCAATAATATAATTTTAATAAATAGTTTAAAATAAATGCCTTGATTGATTGGTAATGAGTAAGAAGAGCAAATATTTATAAGCACCGTTGAAAAGTATTACATTAGAATCTAAAAAAACGTCGACACTCCGTTTACTGCCTTATCTACATATACATACATATATACCTTATATATATATATATATATATATATATATATATATATTAGAGTAACTGTAAGGTAAGATATAATATGTATGCATAATAAACTAGTTGATATGAACTAGAAATGACAACTATTAGTTCTTAAATATTAGTATAAAATATATTACGACATAATTGGCAAAGTAGAAATAATTTTTTCTTCAATATATTTACTTGTAGATTAATCAAAATTTTACAAGAAATAAATTTCATAATTTATTGGCACGCTTATTATGGAGATAAGAATCTTTTAAATGATAACTTTTTTATTTAGTATGGTACTGCATCTCATAATTGGAATTTCGGAGTTTCAATAAATTCAATTATTTCAAATAGATAGATTGGGAAAATATTATTAATGATTACAATTTAGCTTTATCTTAAAGTTACATTAACCGGGCTTTTTGGTCTATAGTATAAAAATGTTGAAATTCACGAATTACATTATATTAGTTATGTTCATTAATTTATATTAATAATAAAATAATAAGTTTTGTAGCAAAATTAATTTGTATTTGAAAAAGTGCCCAAAAAGGATATTGTATGGTTCTTAAATTAAATGGATAATTGAATGTAAATTAATGTTTATGATTTATATATAATTATAATTTAATACATTTATGTTGCCATCAGTTCTTTATTTAAGAAATTGAATTGATTCTAATCATGCAAAGTAAAAATCTTAAATTATTTCAATTACACATTTTATATAATTTCACAATATGTAATTATTGAAAAATATTACGTAGTCAATATTCGAATACTAATAAGCCGTAGCCGATCTAGTTACAACGTTTTTTGATACCTTGATAAATAAGAATGGAATTCTGTATTAGATTTAAAAATAATTTCACATTGATTTTAAAAACACAAAAATACAAAAATTTTTAAAATACATAATCCTATAATTTATTGAAATTGTTCATAATTTTTGCTTGTTG